TATTTAGAATCAGACACATTACCCAAAGAGATAACAGACATAGAAGAAAAACAACTAATTAGACAAGCCAGACATTTTGAAACAAAGCATGGACTATTATATAAAAAGAATAGAAAAGACCCTACTTATCCACTTAGAGTTATTAAATGGACTGAAGTAGAACCTATCCTATACATAATGCATAAACATCCTACTGCTAGACATTTAGAAACAGATGCCATGTACTATAAGATCGCTGAATGATATTATTGGGACCAAATATATAGAGATGTACAAGAATATGTCCAAACTTGTACAGAATGTCAACAATGACAAAAAGGACAAAGAAAGGAACCTCTTCATCTTATTCAAATAGAACGAGCCTTTGAACGACTTGGTATTGATTTAGTAGAACCTCTCTCTCTTACTAAACAAAATAATCGCTATATAATTGTTGCTACTGAATACCTAACACAATGGCCAGAAGCCTGAGCTGTGCCTGATGCTGGTGCTGCTACACTAGCACAATTCATTTTTGAAGAAATAGTTTGTAGACATGGAACCACAAAAATTATCTTATCTGATCAAGGACAAAACTTTATTAGTGAAACTATTCGTATACTATGTGAAAAGTTTCTAATCAAACATAAATTCTCGTCATCATATCATCCACAAACAAATGGCATGGTTAAAAGATTTAACTGCACACTCTGTGAATCACTTGCTAAGATAAAAGGAACAGATGATTGGGACATTCATATTTCTGCTGTATTATTAGCATATCGAACAAAAAAACATGCTACTACTGAATATACTCCATTTTAACTCATTTATGGTCAACAAGCTACATTGCCGATTGAAGCTTTAATACCTATTAAACCACCACCAGAAAGTAGCAAAAATATTAACTTACAAGACAGTATTCTGCATAGAGCTTATGAGCTAATAGACAAATTGCCTCAATGGCAAGAGAATGCAAGAAACAATACTAATAAGTCGCAACAGAAACAGAAACAATACTTCGACGCAAAAGTTAAAATACAAGAATTCGAAGTAGGTAACAAAGTATGGATCCAACGGAAGGAACTAGAAATGTCAAGATCAGCAAAATTTGAGAATAAACGACTAGGACCATTTATAATTCACAAGAAATTAGGAAATGGTGCTTATAAGTTACGAAATAAAGAAGGAAAAATCTTACAAAACTATTACAATAGTGATCGATTAGCAAAATATTATGAGAAACAGACTTGGGAACCAATAGTTGTTGTGGAAACTTAGCAAATTTCTGGAAGAAATTTAATTTGGAAGGGAGTGACACAATGAAAAACATTTTGAAAATCTCATATTACTTTAAAATATATATATAGACAACCTAACCATGCAAATTTTCCTAAATTAATAATTTGGCTATTTAAAAATGAATGCTATTATTTTGCAACCTAACACTATTCAGGCTTTACAAAATTTTATTTTCATTTGGAGGCAAGACCTTGCTGCTCAATACAATTTAGGAATCTTCTCCCAAAATATAATACTATAAGATGACCAAGTACCAGACCAAGTTATCGATATTTCACTACAGCTTGAAGAAACAGCTTTAAATGAAATCGATCAACTTATCGAAAGTTTAGATGAACCAATTAATAACCTGATTCCTATCGTAGAAGAAGAATTAAATGAACCAAATTCACTTGTAAAAAAAAGGAAGACCTCATGCAACCTCTTGAACCTCAGAAAGCCTCTCAAATCTCACCTTTCAAAGGAACAACCTGGAAGGAAAAACTTAACGATATTTTGGAAAAACTTCCTACTCATGCTAAGTCAAGAGAAAACCAGATCAAAAATTTTGAAGCTTACTATTATTTGGGAACTCTTATTCAAGAAAATGAAGCTAACTAGGAACAGATTAAAGAATGAATACAAGAAACCAATAGTGCTCGCAAAGCTCGAGACATTTGGAAAGAAGCTCGTTGTATTCAAAAGATTTTTACTCTTTGACCGAAAGCTATAATCTACCAGACAAAATACTTGGCTGCTATCCAAGTTGTCAGGCTTACCGACAAAGATTTCACTTCCTTGATTAAAGACTTAGAAGATAAATTTGCAGAGCAAATTTCTTAAGAGGACAGAAATGT